TGTGTGTGTGTGTGTGTGTGTGTGTGTGTGTGTGTGTGTGTGTGTGTTTGGGATAGCCACTAGAGGTCAGGAAATGTGGGAGGTAGGAGTTTTGACAAGAGAGAGAACTCTGTGGTATAAAGATTTAAAGGGGAACGGTGGATTAGATGTAAAGTTAAAGAGGAATGATGGATAAGGAAGGGTTAAATTTGGGTAGAGAATTAGAGGACAGAGAAGAGAAGATAATATAGGGAGAGATAAATAACCCCCAAACACCTTTAGGAAAGTCATACAGGAACCTACCTACTACTGCAGAAGCATACACTCAGACACAAATGAAAACAAAATCATCTTATAATGTACTACACAAGGTTTCATGTACTACTAGGTTTCATCAACTAACAAAAATCCCAATGCTAAAAACTGTATAATTAAATAATTATTCTGTATATCTGAATTAATATAGGAAATTAATACAGCAGCAGTTTTCTTTAACCGGCTAGTTCCCCAATGATTGATACAGAGAGAATATGAATTATTATTAAGCTGTAGACATTATGCAGGGCATAGTCTGAGCTATTCTAATCTCAGTACCCTTTTTAAAAGCCAATCATTTGCCAGCCTGGTCACTTCTGGGTGGCTTCTATCCCATCAGTCTGTCTTCATGACCACATGTTCATTGTCTGCCCTGCCCCATGGCGACTCCCTGTCTGCTCCATCTTCTGCTCCTCCTGCTCCATCTTCTCCCACTCCCCTTCTGCCTTGTGGTCTCCTGCCCCAAACCCCAGGAACCTAAACCCCACCTGCTTCTCTTCTGCCTAGTCATAGTCTTCAGCACCTTTATTAACCAATCAGGGATCGATGGAAACATTCCTTACATCACATGGATACAGGAGCTGGTTCAACATTCATAACAATGCCCGTGCCAGGGCAGTAACCAGATCTCAGGGCACTGAAATCAACATCTGAAAACACAGTGCATGAGACCCTCTTCCAACAACAACAAAAAATGGTTTACCGCTTTTGGAGTTGTTGGCCACTGAGGTCCCATGGACTTCTCCGTAAACATTAAAGGCTATTGCCAGTTGCCAATGTTGTTGGCTACACTCTAGAACTTGGCTGTAAGAGCCCACTGCACACTTGAGTCAGAGAACATGAAAGAAAACATCAAGTTGGTTCTCACTTACAAGCTTCATGTGTAACCGCCTGGCTTCCATGATGCTGGAAGATGCTATTGGTGCTACCAACATAGGAAAGTTAATATCTTACCCAGCTATGAATTTTGTGAGCTATGGTATTGACTGGCCTGGCAAGATATGCCCAGTGATGCAACAGTGCCACAAAGACTATGGGAGCAACTAATGGCTGACTTCATTTCAGTCTTTCGCCAGAAGATGAAAGCTATACCTATCATAATCATCAGAGCCAAGAACCCAAACGATTAGACAGATCATGGGCCCTCACGGAGAAACGACTACTATCATCCTTATGTTTTTGATTGTGAACCTTGCCTTTAATGGCTGAGTCATCTTTTCAGCCCTACTATTATTCTTCTAAATGGGCATAGTATTAATTCATCTCCCAATCTTCATCCCACAAGCATCTTTTTCAGTAAACAGGGATCAACACAGAGACCTACAAATGATCAAAGCACAGAGAGTAAGAGACTGCAGAATGCTTAGCTCTAAATAGAATATCTATATAAGACACACTACCCCTAAATGGTCGGGGATCATTGCAGAAGAAGGGACAAAAACAAAAACAAAAACAAAAACGTGTAAGAACTGGAGGCAGTGCACAACTACAAGAACTACAAGTAAACAGTGTCTTCCAGACACAAGAGGGCATCTGCATATATGAATTCATAGCGGTTATGACAACATGCACAAGACCTAGGGAAGCCCAAACCAGAGCTATCCCAACATGGCTAGGGGAGGCCAAAGTTCCACCCATATCCAAGTAGGTATTGGTAACTGATATGTTCTGAGAGAGGAAGAGTTTTCTGTCAGAGTGTGGCCCCTGGAACATCAGCCACACTCCAGGGGAAGACACACACTTAGGAATATATGGACAGCGTAAACTGCTTAATAAACTTTCATAAAAATAAAAGAGGACAAAGTTGGGCAAGCAGGGGAGTGGATATGGGGATGAGGGAAATATGATCTGGACACATTGCACAAAATTCTCATGAATTAATATAAAGTTTTAAAGCACAAAAATACTATCTAGCGGCATGTGACTTTTAGTCAACTAGTTAAATGCTATTCATTTCATTTTCTAATTCAGCTTTAGAACAACAATCACTTGACATAAGTGAGTAGCTGTTTATCCCTACATTTTAAATGTATGTATTCAGCATCCATGGCGATTCTTAATACCTACAGAATGTAAAGCACAGAACAAAGATCAATTCATTTGTCATTCAAGTTTTGAGGTATGGGAGTGACTATACCAATAATAGTGTTGAGGGGAGTGGTTGGGAATGAGCTGAACATTTATGTTCATGTTCCTACCCAACTCAGATGTTAAATCCTAACAGCCAAGATGATGTTATTTAGAAATGGGGCTCAATCCCCAACCCAAAAGGCAAAGAGGACAGACATCAGAAGAAGAAGAAAACAGAAAACAACCTAGGAACCTGCCACAGAGGGCCTCTGAAAGGCTCTGCCCTGCAGACTATCAAAGCAGATGCTGAGACTTATGGCCAACTGTTGGGCAAAGTGCAGGGAATCTTATGTAAGAAGTGGGAAATAGTAAGATCTGGAGAGGACGGAAACCCCACAAGGAGAGGAAGAGAACCAGAAAATTTGAACACAGGGGTCTTCCCAGAGACTCATACTCCAACCAAGTACCATGCATGGAGATAACCTAGAACCCCTGCACAGATTTAATCCATGCCAGTGTAGTGTCCAAGTGGGTTACATAGTAATGGGAAGAGGGACTGCTTCTGACATAATCTGATAGGCCTGTTCTTTGATCACCTCCCTCTGAGGGGAGAGCAGCCTTACCAGGCCACAGAAGATGACAATGCAGCCACTCCTGATGAGATCTGATAAACTAAGATCAGAAGGAAGGAGAGGAGGACCTCTCCTATCAGTGGACTTGGGGAGGGGCATGCACGAAGAAGGGTGAGGGAGGGTGGGACCGGGAGGGGCTTATGGGGGGATACAAAGTGAATAAACTGTAATTAATAAAAAAAAATGGGGATGTTGAGTGGTGGTCTAAATGGGATCAGTGCCCATCTACAAAGCCCCAGAGACAGTCCCTTATCTCATTCCTTCTGTTATGTGAGTCATGATAGTGTCACGTGTGAGTCAGTGAGTCAGGAAAGGGATTTCACAAGACACTGAATCTGCTGCCACTTTTGTTACAGACAGTCCCGTCTCCAAAATCTCACCAAAAATTTCTGCAGTTTATAAGCCATATGACCTATGGATTTTGTTATAGCAGCCACAATTAGCTATGAGGAGATTCTTAAATTTAATGAACAGTATATCTATTACCTGCTTACACTAGGTACATATGTCTAATTGGGGGAAAAAAATGAAACCCATTCCTCATGCTGTGGATGGCACGGCAGGCATTGATGTTAGAACTGCAGCCCTCATCTTAACAGGTGTAAGAGTTTATTATGAGTGACCACGGCCCAAATTCCATGTTCCAACGTGGAGGCAATTTCACAGGGTTTTTATAATTTTACAGAACAATAAAGGTCATAAATCACGGCAACTTTAAAATACGTTTGTGGGTACAGCAAAGAGGTGGGTACAGTGAGATTTGGGGGATTATTCTACAGGCCCAGGTTGCTGTCTGACAGCTCTTGGATTGGTGGAAGTTGGCGTTCTGTATGTGAATACCTTCCAAGGGGTTTTTATTTATTGTCTCGAGGTTCAGATGCAGACAGGGGCAATGCATGACTCCTCCTGAAGCTAAAACTAAACCAAGATAAAGTAATTAGTCCTGGAACCTACAAAATTCCAGTCTCTCCACAGTGCTTAAAGTCCAACTGGTCTGTCGTCTCTGCAGACACAGTCTCCTTCCTGGAGGTTTTTGTTGTGGTTCACAGCCAGACACGGCTTCTCTTCAGGAACTTTTGTTCACATGGGCGATTATCAACACTCTCCCCACCTGAAATCAGGCTGTTTAGCTCCAAATTCCTACCACTGGCAGTGTGACATTGTACAAGTGACAGAGATTTGGGGGAAGGTAGCTCTGAGGAGAAGAGCTGAAGCTCAGGGTCATAAAGGAGAGTTGTTAGATTAAATCTTCACTTAATCTTAAATGAAGCGAAGATGAGTCTGAGGGAGACTGGCAATTAGAGGGACTATAATTGAGATTCAGGCACAGCAATCAAATCAGGGGCCCTGTCAGTATGAGCTCTCTCTCTCTCTCTCTCTCTCTCTCTCTCTCGCTCTCTCTCTCTCCCTCTTTCTCTCTCCAAGACAGGGTCTTAATGTACAGATCTGGCTGTATAGATCAAGGGGCAATGATGGAGCATCTTGCCTCTTTGCCTTTATCCTCCAATGACCTAACACACTGAGCTGCGGTTCTGGCATTATCCCCACTCCTTAAATAGGAAATGGCAAATGGCGGTATGAGAGAGAGACAGAGAGAAAGGCAGATCGAGCTCCTGGAGCACCTGAGGGCATTGTCACAGCAGGGGACATACAAAGGAGGACTCACTACTCTGGCTCCAAATTAGTGCCTTTACAGCACCTGACCGCCTAGGTCCAGAGACTCTTCCTGCACACGACGCCTTAGCCAACCGTCCTGCAGGGCAGCGCTCTCCCTCCCAAGGTTGTGGTCTAGACCTCGTGCAAAGGAATTAGAAGTACAGACATGGGCGGCCCCAGAGGCGCGTGCTAAGAGCG